TTTTGTTTTTATTTACAAATCAGTCTAACGTTTGATATGGACACCTGTTTCAGTAAAAACCCTGATTAATTAAATAAAAATTCATTTTTCATAAAAAATGTTAATTAATCAGGTCATTATTTTATATAGTCACTCATTGTATGTATCTTAAAGGGGCAATTATTGAATGAGTATTATTTTTGAAAGCTTAATTTAAGGGATTACTTGGTCATTTAATTTTCCCTAACTTGTAGCCACAAGTTTGCCATTATAGTTTGGACTTCAGTGAGAAATCTTTGTCGTATTTCCGCGACTATTGTTTGGTTTGATATATCAGTCAATCCGTGTATGTCTGCACTCATGGCTTAACACAGATTTTCATTTAATTATAACAGAATAGTATAAATAAATAAATAAATTAATTTACAAACTTTTAAATAGATAAAATTAAAATACATTATTCATATGAACATTAGAAAATAATTTTTAAAATTTAAATATTATATTTTTATAATAAATGTCAAAAAGTTTACAACATTTATAGATGATTTAAAAATCATTAATAATATAATATAATAATTGAGTACACCTATATGAATTGTGCATGATTTCCCCATAATAGGGAAAAGGATGCATTAATACTAAAGTAATTTCTAAATAGCAGGTCATAATAATTTTAATATATATTACTGAGGGTCTACCACTTTGTTTTTACTCATTTATTATATTAAAATAATTATTAAACTGTAATGAAAAGTATAAAAGTATTGATATCATTGTGTTCAGGGATAAATAATCTACCCATTGATACCAAAAAACACAAACATATGAAGTAATGGCTAAGATCTTCGGATCTGAAGTGGACCTATCATTCAAAATAGTTTCAAAGCATATAAACTCTATGGCATTAATACATGGGAGGTATACGTATTGTTGAAAACGTGTGCAAACACAGAAGTCGCGCAATGCTTTTCAATGAGAAAACACTGGAAACTATTTTGAATGATACGTTCACTTCAGACCTGAAAATCTTAGCCATTATTTCATATTTTTGTGTTTTTTGGTATCAATGGGTAGATTATTTATCCCTGAACACAATGATATCAATACTTTTATACTTTGCATTACAGTTTAATAAATATAATTTGAATTTATAAATAGTGATTTTAACTTTAATATACTTATCAGCATATGTTATAAAAGATTTAAAACACAATCGTGCACATTTGTAAGCCATATAAAATATTTTGAAATACTTTAACAAGATATTCTTAAATATAGGTTAAATAGCTTTTAGGCTATTTCCACGATTTAAGAAATCAAGTTGACCAGGGTTATAATAAAGTTGGACATTTATTTAACTTAACATAAAAGGTAGAAAACTGGCCTTAAAGTCCTAGCTAATAAAGTTTACATTTAACTTAGACACAGACAAAGATATATCTTAGCATACAATGCAAGTTATTATATAAGGTATTGAAAGTAACAAGATACATTGCTCAGTGAAAAACAGTGTACGGTAGTTTAATAACAAAAGTTTCGGTTTCTAACATATTTGAAATACTATGTAATTATATGTAAAAATAATAATTATTTAACATAATTTCTATTTAAATTTCACAATAATATTACTATAAATAGCTGGCTAATATAATTAAAAAATATGTTAAAAATTGTATAGCAAGTAACATGTTACATTAATTGAGAAAGTTTTAAATTGAAATAAAATGCTTTTACACAACATTCTGACATGCCCTTTAATAAAACTAATTATTTATTATATACTAAATTAAACCAGTTTGTTCAATAAATTGCATTAAATTTGAATTTCAATTATTATTGAACGCTTAATTTTTATGATATGCTTAGTCAGAGTAATTTCATGTTATCTGTATTATATATTTATATTTGTGAATATAAATATGATTAAAGGAAATATTTGCAATAATTGCATGAAATTGATTAATATTTTGATAAAAATTAGAGTAAATAATATAATCATACAGGGATAACAAAAAGGGCAATTCGTGACTGCTACGGGATTTATAAAGGAAATGTATTTACATCTTACATTTATAGCATTTTATATAAATATTTATAAACTTTTCATTAAATGTTTTGACAAACATTTTACAAAACATTGCTTAAATATAACAAATAGATTACTACAAAATACTGCCCTTATTGTCACCCCTGTATAGATTTAATAATCTTTGTCAATAAAATTAAATACTTTTCTTTTATTACTAAAAACAAATTTAATGATAATATTAATGGTATTTCATGCAACATTAAAACCAGTTATTCGTTAAAAAAATATTTATAAATAAGTCAATATAAAGTTAATTCATATTTAAATAAAAATTTTAAAAATTATTGTGCCATAAGTTTAAAGTGTTTCATTTAAATAAAATTATCCAGCCAATCAAATATATAATAATAAGTATATAGATATTAGATTAATAAAATTGAAAATTAATATATAAAATTAATAAAATATCGGCAGGTTAAAATTAACATGGAGGATATATTAACCACTCTGGAATGGGTGAAACAAGTATGGGAAAAGGTAAATGATCTAAGTATTTTCCAATTAATTAATCACAAATTTTAATAAGCCAAATAATGAGCCAATTATGCGGTAAACTAGGTCCCACCTGAATTAAAAACAGCAGCCCCGCACGTGCCCACGTGCATCTACAATATAACCAATACTATTACCGAGTACACCAAAAACATCAGCCCGCTTTTAAAACTATGCGAATACTTAAGGAATGGCGTGTCCCTGGACTCCGATATGGCTAAAGGTATTTTGGACAAATGTGGAAAGTTTATTAGCCCACATCAAGAGCACGTACACTAGTGCCTGACCTCGACACCGCCCCTCCAAATTGACCCCAATGTTATCCAGATCCTGGAGGGCCACCTAAAAAAGTTAGCCGATGCGCTATTGTGGAGCTCAGCCCTGGCCAGCAGTCTATGTCTTATATCGGAGACAATACGGTTGTGGAACTTTTGGCAGCAAATCAAGGAGGCCCGCAATATATGCGCCGAATCGGTGTCGACCCGGACACGAATATCGGCCATCTTTGCTAGTATACCGGCTGAGATTGCCAAACTAGACCAGTTTATGATCGATATGCCTGACCGCGAAGTGAGGGAGATAGCCAGGATTGAAGCCGCTGAACAGATTGATAAAATACGAGGCATATTACATGAGGCACATATTGAAATGCGTATGTTTTATTAAATAACCTTATGCTGTAATTGTTGTAGAATGTAAACAATGTATAATTCAATGATAACTATGCTATAAGAAACAAAACGACCATCTCAACGGGGGTTTGTTTCTTATAGCATAGTTATCATTAAATTATACATTGTTACATTCTACAACAATGAATGTAATATATTTATATTTACTTAATTATTATTATTATTATTACTTAAATTTATTATTTAAACAATTATAAAATGATTTTTTAATAGATTAAAATTATTGATAGAACAATATTTAGAACTATGATAACATTAGGCTATGGAAAACAAAGTCCTTGTTATATGGGTTACAATGAAGTTGTCCACCTGCTGGGTGTTAATTTTCCAATAAACCACATTGATTGAATGTTACATAATTTAATAAGTTTGCTTATTTGATATATTACAGAATCATTACAATTCAAAGTGAAAAACGCTAAAATGGCGCTTGGTAAATCGCGTAGAGATGGAGTAGTCTCGGCGGTTGTCAGTGGAGCCCAGGCCACGTCCACTATAGTGAACCTGACTCTATTGGCCTCAATGGCAAATCCGTACCTAGTTGGTTTCTGGAAACCATATCTGTGCGTCTAAGGTCTAGCTCCTATGTGCCATAGCCTGAGCCTTAAAGTGGGCCCAAACCTCCTTAACCCTATCGTTGAACCGCTGGACGAGCGCTGCCCTAATATCGTCGAGTTTGGCGATCTCTTCCAACTCGTCCTGCAATCTCTTCATATCTTCAG